TGGATGATCGAGGTAGGGGTAGCTGGATCTGAACGGGTAGAGGAATCTGGAATTTGTTGTGAAGTTGACGATATGAAATGCAGGATTTAATATTTAAATTTCAGAATTGTAGGGATTATGGGAGAAAAAAGTATTGGGATTTGGAAGAGCTATATAGAATTGAATGTATTAGTAAAGAACGTCAGAATTTTAAAAATAAATAATTAGAATATTTACCTTCAGTTCAAATTATAGCAATTTAATATACATGTGCATAAACAATAAAAACTAATTTGAAAATGAGAATAAAAATGCAGCAATAATCAAATTTGAATTTGGAATTTGAGATTGTGAATGAAAATTATGGGATCGATCAGTGTTACCCCCGCCCCCAATAGTTTTTCCTATTTACTATTTGATCAAATTGAGGTTCTTGGCCAATTGCGACTTTAAATGATTGCAAATGCCAAAATGAGGGTAATTCCCACCAGCTACCTCTTTCACATCACACTCACAATCCACTAAATGTGTTGATACAAAGTTCTTGCATATTTTGGCAGACTTGGACGCTGCAACATGATGCATCAATACATCACCTAGGTCTAACTCTAGGTCAGGAACATATTAACATTTATCACGGCAAACACCCAATGCATCTGATGCCGACACTTCGGCCCCCATCATAGCCATCATAGCCATCACTCACACTTCAATTGCACGCAGCGGGTGTGCATGCTAAGCGTACGCCGAGCGGTACTCGTACTCACTTTCACTTTCATTTGGACAGGGAATTATCAATGATTACTTTAACAATTTCTCATGCTATTTCCCTCGCTTTGTGACGGGGAGTTCTCACACTATACAATTTATCAGTTTCACGCGACATGCTCACAAAAATAACGTTGAAAGAGAAAGAAAATCATTCATTTACCATGCAGTGTTGATACTCCCCGGCAACTGATCCAGACAAATGGACAGGATATGGCTGACGTACGTTGCAATTGCAAGAGCACATGGGCATGCGCACGCATGCAATTTTTTTTACCCGGATGTAGCGGTACTAGGTCGTATTTGCTACGTTGGCCCAACGTCATATAGCCAACCAATATATACATGCACTATTTATCAGTAAAGATGGAGACGATATAGACCAACGTTAAGCCAAGGTTGGCCCAACGTCGCGTATATTAGCCAACATATCAACCATTTCTCAGTAAAATTTGAAACGATGGACCAACATTGAGCCAACGTTAATAGCCAAACGTCAAATAGCCAATTAACAGCCACAATTTATCAGTAATAATTGAGACGGACCAACGTTCAGCCAACATTGGCCCAACATCGAATGGCCAGCCAAAAGCCAACATTTAAAATTTAAAATTGAGACGATGGACCAACGTTCAGCCGACGTTAGCCCAACGTCGAATAGCCAACCAATAGCCAACATTTATCAGTGATAATTGAGACGATGGACCAACATTTAGCCAACATTGGCCCAACGTTGAATAGCCAACCCAAAGCCACCATTTATCAGTGAAAATGGCGACAATGGACCAACGTTCAGCCAACATTGGCACAACGTCGAATAGCCAACCCAAAGCCACCATTTATCAGTGAAAATGGCGACAATGGACCAACGTTCAGCCAACATTGGCCCAACGTCGAATAGCCAACCAATAGCCACCATTTATCAGTGAAAATGGCGACAATTAACCAACGTTCAGCCAACATTGGACCAACGTCGAATAGCCAACCAATAGCCACCATGTATCAATGAAAATGGCGACAATGGACCAACATTCAGCCAACATTGGCCCAACGTCGAATAGCCAACTAATAGTCACCATTTATCAGTAAAAATGGTGACAATGGACCAACGTTCAGCCAACATTGGCCCAACGTCGAATAGCCAACCAAAAGCCAACATTTATCAGTGAAAATTGCGACAATGATCCAACGTTAGCCCAACGTCGAATAGCCAACCAATAGCCAATATTTATCAGTGATAATTGAGACGATGGACCAACATTTAGCCAACATTGGCCCAACGTCGAATAGCCAACCCAAAGCCACCATTTATCAGTGAAAATGGCGACAATGGACCAACGTTCAGCCAACATTGGCCCAACGTCGAATAGCCAACCAATAGCCACCATTTATCAGTGAAAATGGCGACAATGGACCAACGTTCAGCCAACATTGGCCCAACGTCGAATAGCCAACCAATAGCCACCATTTATCAGTGAAAATGGCGACAATGGACCAACGTTCAGCCAACATTGGTCCAACGTCGAATAGCCAACCAATAGCCACCATTTATCAGTGAAAATGGCGACAATGGACCAACGTTCAGCCAACATTGGCCCAACGTCGAATGAGCCAACCAATAGCCACCATTTATCAGTAAAAAATGGCGACAATGGCCCAACGATTAGCCAACGTTGGCTTGCCGACTGCGACCCTGCCGACCGTGGCCGACGTTGGCCCAACGCCGTATTGTTATCTGGGCTGTGATATATAGTCTTTGAATAGAATATTTTCTGTGCGAGGCATGTGTTGATTTGATAATGATTGTATGACATATTTATGTCATATCATAGCATACGTGTACATGTATGAGCAGTGTAGACTATGTTTTGATGGTGGTTGTGTGCCGGGATGCCAAAAAAATGAAGCCACCACTTTTGTCCTTGGATTTAACAAAAGTCTGCATCAAATAATATAGTTTAGCCCTCTTAAATAAGTCTCCAAAGATTAATGAAATAATGTGTGTAAACTTCTACAAATTACCGTTATAAATCAAATGTCTGGACAAATATTGTCTTGGTATATTCTACAATTGCCACAGTCAATTTCTAGAATTTAGCACTAAACAAATTCCTATAAAATTCAACACTGTACAGTGTGCCCAATTCAATTTTTAAACCTAAAGTTCTTAAACCAATCACAATGAGCTATCTTTAATGCAATGAAGCCCTGAGGCAGAGGCAGATATATGCCAGCAGAGCAGACACGTACATATACAGAAATAATTGTCCGGTATGGGGAATTCTGTAATAAAACTGACATTTGTCAACCTTCCCCATACACAGATGGTAACCCTTGCCACACTTTCTTATTTCATGTAAAATGATATTTATTGGAGGAAGTGAGCTGGGATGAGACTCCCGGGGGATGTTTCATGAAACTACCTCCTTCCTTGACTAGTCTGCAAGCACAAACCCTGGTCAGTCGTAAAAGTGAGTCTGCACTATAAGACTACCATAGGCCATGTACTGAAGCTGCTCCTGACACTGACACAACCAGTAGGTAGCTGGGCTAGACTTCTCTCAAGGCACAATGATTTGTTGATAAAGTGTCAAATTAGGGTCTGTGCCTGCAGACTATTCCTTGACAGTCATATCTTTGTCAGTGACCTACGGGGATGTCAGGAACCGGACAACCCGTGTCACAAAACCATGATCAGCAACAAATTCATGATATTGATACTATTGACTAAAAGAAATATAGTCTTTGTAACGATCCATCAGATTTTATCCTGAATTATCAAGAGACTACGAGGCTTAAATTCATTCAAACTGTTTTAAAAATTAAAAACTAAAAGATTGGTAGCACAAATGATACAAATTACATCCAATCTGCACGAAAACATATGTTATAAAAGACATCTAAGAATATATAAACAATGATGAAACTCAAGGTTGTTTTGGGGACAAGCGAATGGAAATTTGCATGTAAGAGGATACCATAACTCATATCAAATCGAAAGAAGACCCTGATTCTATTTCTAGCAAAGAAAGTAATGAAGAAAAAAAATTATCACTCACAGTTTTATCACTTCTTTATCAAATAATTATCTAAATACGATTTGTATCAAATTTATGCTTGAAAATGGAAAATATCTAAATATAAACCTACACAAAAATTGTTGTTATTCTCATTGGTGTGTATATACAGACTGTTTGATCTTCAGCGATTTTTCTATGGTAGTCTGATGTATGTTCAAATAATATTGATCGTATTTGCTCATTAAGGCCTTAAAACCTTAAAAGAATAGTTTATTTGCTTGAACAATACTTTTTTATTAACATTTATACAAAACTGGTCAGTGAAATGAGAGCTTGTTCAAGATCAAGAAATGCGTTTTTTAAATATTTTAAATTTTCAGTTTCATTTTTTCGCTGCCCATAGACAAACTTAAAGTTCCCTAGAGATGGCGTTCTAAAAAGATATGACGGGTTTGGAGTCGCAATAAGGAATTGTCGCGGAAGTTGTCGCTCTTCTTGGCAAAGACAGTTTTGTGAAACACTTAGCGGATAAGTTAAACGACAGCGGCGAGATGCCGTTGATCTTGTAGATATGACAGTTTCAAGAAATGACCCCCAGCAGGAAACAGTTTTAATGTGATTTTGAGTGTAATATACCGGTAGTGCGATATTGACTTTGTAGTACATGCAATAGGTATACATGTACAATGTAGTTGGATCATTATAGGCCTGTTTTAGCAGTCCTGGAATTTTGCACATTGGTGCTTAACTCTTTCATGTTTTTACAGACGTGTCTCGGAAGCTCCATGTTTGCAGTTTTTATTGTGGTATTGATTTATGAAAAAAAAATATACTTTGATTCAGATTGATTCTTTGCTTGTTAATCGATCTGTCTTGGGAAAGCCAAAGGGAAATCTATAAAGTTATATTGACTTCAAAATCCATGTAAAGTGTTATAATAAGACAAACTGCAATTGGCCTGTAAAAATAGTGTAGTGGGGGCTAGAAAAAAGTAGAAGTAGACACTGGACAGGTCCAGGGAGAGTCACAAAAAGAGGAAAATCTATTATTATTATTGTTATTGTTTTGATATTGTCATTGTTCTTATTAGTTTTTATTATTATTATTATCATTATTGTTGTTATGATTAAGATTATTACAATTTTTTGTTTGTTTTGTTATTGATGATAATGACTTAGCTTAGAATTTCAAATTGCTGTAACTGTTTTTTTTTTCTTCTTCTTCACAGTTACATAATACATACCCGTACAAGAAAGCTGGCTATGGCTAACCTACCACAGGACGAGGTGAGTATAAAACATTAAAGTGACACATCCTATGCTGTACATGTAGCAACGTATTACATCTACATGTACACGTACATACATGCGTATAAATACATGTAGCTCTTTGTAGAGGTAAACTGAAATGGTAGAAAAGTGATGTAGAACTGGGTGATTTTTGTCACGGTCACCTCTTATCATGGTATGTCTAGTGAATGCAAAAGTTTCTGCTTTTACAGTTTTTATGACACATTTTTTGATATTGTTAGAGAATAAATTATGGGTTAAAGTATAATATTGATAATAATATTGATCATTTAGGAGTGCTAAAAACAAAATGTACCATAGTGCTAAATACAAAACTACATACCGGTAAAGTGAAAGAGGAACATGAAATACATACAAAATTATGTCACTGGGAGATGACAGCCTGAATTTGGAAATAATTGGTTAATATTTGTCAGATGCTGAGCGAAGTTTACGAGCTGGTGTATATATTTGGAGGGTGTCATTTAGATTCAGGTACCCTATGATTAAGAATTTTGAAGATATACATGTACAAGCAGACTTTAAACAGAATGCGTTGTTGTAGAGGTAACCACTGGAGTTCCTAGCTTAATAATCAAGGGAAAAGTACCATAGCTGCCAACCATTCCTTTTTGGAGGAAAGAATCCTATGTTTGGGCCTTCAAGCTACTGTTTTTAACCCCAGCTTCCTCTCATTTTTTGATATATTCTGTGTGAAAAGTATACAAAAAGACTATATTCCTAATTTTTTGCTGTGAAAGGTTGGCATGTATGAAGTACACGTACGAGTCTGAGATCCAAGGCCAAAGATAAATCTAACGGCTCAATTCTGGACAGTTTCAAGTTTCATGTATCTTTTGTAGACAAAACCGTATACAAACTATTACAATAATCTTTACTTACATGTACATACATAGAATCCTAGATAGACATATTTTTTTGGTTTAATAATCTACAGACTTAACAGGTAACGGGGAATTAACCTCAAACTACATGTTAATTTGAGTTTATTTCATTTCCATTTAAAACATTATATCTGAAAAATATAAATATTGAACATTTGACGGAAGGGAGGACGTAACTCTTCTTCCGAATCCTTCGTCTTTTGCGGCTCTGAGAATTTTCAGAACATTGCCATTGTGTTTGCGCATGGGGATGACCCCTATTGGGTACGTATGTTTCCCTGCTGTAAACTACATACACATTACACTCATGCTGCAGTGAGCTCAAGCACGCGCAATTTGTAACGATATTGCACACAAATGGGACATTCAATTACGATATAAATGACATGCCTTTTTTGCCTCAAGCTTGACTCTCCTCTTTTCTGTCGTATTTGTACTTCTGGTCAAGAAATTTCTCCACCTTCAGAGCTGCTACCCATAGCTTGAATATTTCATTGCGATTGTGTGGGTCTGGGAACCGATGAAACAATTTCCCCTTGGTTTTCGAGGAACAATTATTACAACAAAATACTGGGCAGTACACCATGTTTGACGTGTATTGCATATAAAGCGTGCGCGCTACATCAGTTCTCCGTGCGATACGTCACAACCCGTAAGTTTTGAAGGGAAATCTTAACAAAGTGGCAGCTTCACGACGTTGTAAATATGGCAAAGCAGGGTCTTTTTATTGTACTTGCAAGACGATATTATTTGGCCTACAGCTATGTTTTTTATATTAAATGAACTGTTGTTTTACTCTCTATATCATGATAATGCTTCATAGTTGAGAGATTAATTCTTCTTTAAGTTGTGCATGTAAGTAAGTAACTATATATTTTCAAATTCAGTGAATTCATATTTTTGGTCTCGCCCTAAATGAGTAGTGGGCATCTTCGATCAGTGAAAGTCACCATTATTTATTTTGCTTATTAAACCAGTATGCTTATACATTACATGTACCGTACATGTAGACTTATGTAAATATTCTTGTTAAAAATTTGATGTTTCAGAGGAATGACCTTCAGCGTGAAGAACGACGTTTACATGTAGCTAAGGCAAGGAGATATTACAGCCTCACTCCGGTATGATCTGGTTGGCTATGAAAACCTACAGCCTTTTCACACACAGCTAAAATTCATCGTATCTAGAGATGATTAGAATCACTCAACAGTTTTAAACATGTTTATAGACAAAATTTCCCAGTGTGAACATCGTTTATACGATGTTGGGATAGATACGAAGTCGCGATCCATACGCCCCTAAAAGCAGGCTGCAGATACGAAGTTCGTATCTAGAGAGCTTGACATTTTGTGTGTGAAAGGAAATTCGTGTTTAAACGTGTTTAAACTGGATGGAGCGTGCGCTTTGATTGACATGACATGACCTTCAATGCGCAATGGCACTACTGCGCATTTTACGAGCAGTAGTTAATCACGAAACTATTAACGATCGCAACGAAATTTCTGTGTGTGAAAGGCTCGTGATCAGTTTAAACACGTTCGAAACACGTTTATACTAGTCATGTTTATAGAATTTTAGCTGTGTGTGAAAAGGCTGAAAGTCTTACTAAAAGTTAATTTTGATGAAAATTGGAGGTTAATTGTCTGGAGATATCAAGAACCATGTTGGCTTTAGCTTTGAATGTGGTATCTCCCTGTACCAGGACAAGAAATGAGTAGACATGGGAATCTGCAGGCCAAAGGTCAAATTTCTTGGATCATTTAAAGGGATAGTTGATTTTTGTTGCAGAGGGCGTTACACAAATCATTTTTTTGTGAGATAACAAAAAACTGAGTGTCAAATTTGGAAGAACATACAATTTAAATAACAGAATCATCTTTGTTTGATCAAAATCGGTTCAGAGACAGCTGAAATATCCATAAATATAACGATTTCTAGTTTGTGGTGCCCCACAAATATTCAATAATTTGAACCAGCCATTGAAAAAACAAGATAGCATCTTATACGTTTTATTTCAGCCAATTTTGGTATGAACTTGCACTGGAATGCAGTACTTCGAAAAGAAATTAAATGTTTTTAAAGATCACATTTGTCAGCTTTTGTCAAAAATCCTCAAACGTCTCATTATTGTGACATCTGAAAAATTATTCCTGGTGTTCTCTCCAAAATAAATATGCATCATAAGGAAACAAACAGAGGAGCTTTTGGGGTAATAAAGGGAATATACATTTGAAAGCAAATGAGCATAGCAAGCACTCTTGGAAAGCCAACAAGGTAGATCAGTGAAGAACCTGTAGCCTTATACAAAATGCAAAGTGTTAACAGTGTTTTGACATATTTATCAATTTGATTTTTTTTCATGCTAACAGATGGAGCAAAAGAAATGCAATGCTTTGGTGAAAGACTACCTACATCCATCTGGAATTGGATCTGAAGTGTTTTTGCGAAATCTCATCTGCTTCTTTAATTTTGAAACACGTGATCCGCCTCCACGTCGTTACGAGCAAGGTGAGGAGGCTATTTGTCTTGTTTTTCATTTTACAGTTGACAATCATAATCAGCAACCACATGAAAGCCTTTCATATCAGCTCTGACAAATCCAAGAAGCAGAACAATAGTAAGAATGTTGATGTACTTCTTCGGTGTGATTGGTGGAGGGGGGTTGAGACGTACATGTAGATCGTAGATTGTCTTTCTTGTCCACATGTCAGCCCCTCTTTTTTATGTGTAAATATCAAGAACCATACTCAAGAAATGTATAAACCTCTTCAAAAAGAAGCAAACTGAAATCTATCCCTCCAAAAATAATAACCAATTGTCCAAAAAAGAAAAGAGAAGAGAAGGAAGGACAGGAAAGCAAAGGGGAAATTAAAAGTAAAAAGGGAAAGGGGAAAGGAAGAAAAATAAGCAACCTGCAACCCCCCCCCCCCTCCCTCCAACAAAAGACCCAAGTTTTTTGTTGTGGGGGGGGGGGACAGGGCTTCTTGTAATGAAAATCTAGATTTACACATTCAAGTTCTCTACATGCACGCACTGTACATTCATTAGTATGCTCTTTACTGGATTCTTTTCTCTTCCACAATGTGCACACTATTTTTATTGTAGCACAGGCTCTAACCTTCTTCCAGGTGGAATATTTATTTCACTGCTGTCAAGGAAATCATGCTCTAAGCCAGAACATGAATTCAGATCTTTAGGGTTGCAATTCGGTGACCGAATTGCACTATATGATGAATCATTATGCCTAGATGCCAGGGTAGCTAGTCCACAAACCAAAATTCAAACATTTAAATTTGCAACTTGGAAGGAGTATGAAATGATTGGCATAAAGTGCTGCAAAAGTCCCTTGCAGCCATGTTCTAGGGCCTACATGACTTGTGGGCTCCAGGATTCTTAGATGCTCTCTGATGCAATTTGAACTTATTTTCTAACCTGTCACTTGACCTATACCCCTCAATTCTCATTCTGTTTTAGAGAGTGCACTTCTTGTGATTGAAGTGTGCACGATCATGAAGGATCTCTTTCAACCATTTTGGAACAATTCTCAGAATAGCGACCAGGTACATGTACAGGATAGTTATAACAACGTTATCGTATCATTAGGGCAATTCCACGGTAACGGAAGGACACTCAGACAAGATTTTTGAACTTCAGGTTCATACTAAAAGAAATGTTTTATTAGTATGTATTAAACTATGGGGAACAAAATGTGTTTCAGTCAAGTGGAAAGCTTCATCAACTTCACAAAGTTTGGATAAACACTAATTAACTGGAAAAACCATGTCCATTTTTATGTCCTTCCGTTACCAAGATAATTAATATGCACATTCTTAAACTACTTAACTATAATGACAATTTTTTTTTGGGAGAATTTAAGGCACTTATATATGTATTATATCTGTACTGTTTCACATCTTATACTAATAAAACGGTTCTTTTAGTATGAACCTGAAGTTCAAAAATCTTGTCTGAGTGTCCTTCCGTTACCGTGGAATTGCCCATTAGGAACAACAAGAAGATTTTAATGTGATGTGTATGGCAATTCTTGAGCTCCCGTAATATAATTTCAGAAATATTGTACCGGTAATTTGTGCTTTAATGTCTAATATCTTAAATGAGTCTCCTGTACATACCTTATTTAATGAGAGCAAAAATTATTTTTCTGATGGTCAAAGAAAGATGAATTGTTTGTATTCTTAAAGTAAAATCAAAGGCTCATTATATTAGTTAAAAATGGACATAAGGTGCAATGAGAAACATGCCTCCGAAACGAAGTAGCCGGAGGCATTGTTTTCAGCTTGTGTTTTCAGCTTGTCTGTACGTTCCATTCTTGTGATCGCTTAATCTCAAGAACTGATTGATGGATTCCCGCTTACTTAACTTAATCATGTATGTATCTTGCAAAGCCAATGAACTGATTAGATTTTGAGGTCATGAGGTCAAAGGTCATGGGGCTCATTATGTATGAAAAAATAGCTTGTGATCGCATTATCATTGGAGCTAGCTGACGGATACTATCAAATTACTCAGGGAGATGTATGTGTGCAGAGCCAATAAACTGATTTGAATTCTAGGGTTATGAATTGGTCAAAGATTAAAGGGTCATCTGTAAAAATAGCTTGTAATCAAGATATTCTGAGAACCTGTAAATGGGTTACAATCACACTCGAATTTTAAAAATAGCTACTGTTTTGGTTTGAAAAATCGCTCTTTGGTGGAGGCAACATTTTCGACTGTGCGCAGCTATTTGAAGATCCATCTAGTCTTTATCATAATCATATCTAATCTTCTGTTCTGCTAGTGAATGCACTTGGAGAGAAATTAGCTTAAAGCAATTCTAAATCCATATTGTACAGTATGTTATAGATGGACCTTCCACATGTATTACAAACTAGTGGAATTTGCTTGATTATAATGCCGATTTTTATGATTGCATGCCATATTTAGAATATTAAGGCATTTGAAGAGCCATGCTTTTCAGGGAACGTTCTTCCACATGCACTTGCATAATACAATGATAACACTCACAATTTATATTTCACCTCTTCCCAGAACTCAACCTTCCCTTTAGATCAAATTTAACAATTACCGGTAACAAATTTGTCCTTAAATCCTTGAAAATATCTTTATGCAAAAAATATTGGCTGAAATACAGAAATAACTACATGTACATTTATATTGCACAAGTATCAATTATAGGGGATATTCAAGGGGCCTACAAAGTAGTTCATGTATAATATTACCCTTGCTTTCATTCATCTCTTAAAAAATCTTTTTTCTTAAAAATGATTCATCTTTCAGCAAAATATAATTTGCAAAAGGAAAATTCAACAAATTATCATTTGCAAAAGGAAACATGATTTCTGTAAAGACAAACAGTTTACAAGAAGACGGATGGTTGTTTAGAAGACGAATAGCTTGGAAATAGCTAAGTGAATGATTTGTGTAAAGACATAAGAAAACAGATGAAAGCCTTAAAAAGATGACTTGAAAACAAGACAAATTATATTTGCATGATTTTAAGATGGACGAATGACCACGTTTTGTTTCCCTTTTGGCTTGCCATATACTGCTGCAAATGGGAATGAGACTTTCTTTCCGTTATTAGCAGAAGTCAAGATTACATTTGCTGCTGGTTTATTTTGTCATCTTATCGAGAAGTACTCTTTTCCTTTGTCTTTTCTATTCCATAGTTTGACATTCTACAGAAAGAATTGCCTGATTTGCTTATTGCAGGAGGCAAAGGTTATAGGACAGTACCGGAATTTCAACGCGAGCTTCATTCCATTCTGGTAAGACTTATATCATATACATGTGATAGATTACAGGGTCTTTAGGAAAGAAAGGGGTCTAAATATGCTTTTTGTAAGGACCTGTTAACTTACTGAGCTATATCTATATGCAGTGATATTGACCAAGTTTGCTGATCCATGAATTTGAGGGCTTTCATCGAAAGGGTGCGGTGCGGTGTGGCGCGGTGTGGTGAGTTCAATGCACCCATTCGATAAAAGGCCCCCCGCTTTTCTCGAAAGGGTGCGTTGAGAACGGAGGACCATCTTAGCACACCCTTTCGAGAAAAGAGGGGGGTCTTTTCTCGAAAGGGTGCGTCGACTACTCTTTCACATCAGTCGTTTAAAATGTTTAAGGAATAGAAATAATCAAAAGTAAAACTACTTTTTGCATAGTCTTGCAGATCAGGCATTTATAAGAATTAAATCAGTAAATAAAAGGAAACACAATGAAATAATTAACTTAGATATTAAAAAATGTCAAATAAAGGTGTTTAGCTAGTCTTGCATATCAGTCATTTATTTATTGAAATAAAAAACAATATCCATTTCTTTTACTTAATCAGACACACGTTTATGTATTTGTTAAGTCTTGCTGAAAAAATGTAGGGGGGCACATGCTTTTTAATATTAAAAAAAAAAAAAATTGCCAACACAAATTGAAATTATCTTTAATTGTCTATACCATCTGAAAAATGTATTCACCGGCATATATGCCATCTATAATGGTTTTATCACATCCACACAAATTTTAATTTAAGGAAAGTCACATTCTTTCACATAACATGCCCTTCTTTAGTTCAAAATAAATGTGTCACCTTCATAATCAGTTATTATCCAATTAAGACAGCAACAAGACATACCCAATCAACATTCACTCACACAACTTTCACCCTGTTCAACTTTTCTTAAACTTCGTTATTGATGCTAATTAAAAAGACAAAATATAATAACAAAGTTTGATATAAAAGTCAACATATTTATTACTTTTCAATAAACATTACACTAGCAAACAATAATAGTAGTAACAATGAAGGTATTATGTTGAATTCAACAGAGATGGTTCCTTGCATGGGTCTGTGGCACTCTGTGCTGATCCTATAAAAGCTCCCCCCCCCCCCCTCCCGCTCTCTGCCTCTCAGGCGCGGATCCAATAAGAGGGGTCGAGCAGGCCTTGTCCCCCACCCCCCGCAAAAAAAGAGAGAGAGAAGGAAAAGAAGGGAAAGGGAAAAGGAGAGAAAGGGAAAGAAAGAAGAAAAGAAAAGGGGGAAGAAGGAGACCAGGGGCGAAAGGTTCTTGCGTCGCAGGCTGTTGCCTCCCCGCCTGCCCCCCCCCCCCCCCTCCCCCATAAAAAAATAAGAGAGAAGGAAGGAAAGGGAAAGAAAATAGAAGAAGAAGAAAAGAAGGGGATATCAGTTGCAATTTTCCCGCCAACAAGTTGTGGGTCGGGGGGGGGGGGGGCAAATGGCCCTTGCCTCCCCTACCCCCAGCAAACCTAAAAGAGAGAGAGAATTATATTTGCATGATTTTAAGATGGACGAATGACCACGTTTTGTTTCCCTTTTGGCTTGCCATATACTGCTGCAAATGGGAATGAGACTTTCTTTCCGTTATTAGCAGAAGTCAAGATTACATTTGCTGCTGGTTTATTTTGTCATCTTATCGAGAAGTACTCTTTTCCTTTGTCTTTTCTATTCCATAGTTCTACATTCTACAGATAGAATTGCTTGGTTTGCGTATTGCAGGAGGCGAAGGTTTTATGACAGGACCGGAATTTCAACGCGAGCTTCAGTCCATTCTGGTAAGACTTATATCATATACATGTGATAGATTACAGGGTCTTTAGGAAAGAAAGGGGTCTAAATATGCTTTTTGTAAGGACCTGTTAACTTACTGAGCTATATCTATATGCAGTGATATTGACCAAGTTTGCTGATCCATGAATTTGAGGGCTTTCATCGAAAGGGTGCGGTGTGGCGCGGTGTGGTGAGTTCAACGCACCCATTCGATAAAAGGCCCCCCGCTTTTCTCGAAAGGGTGCGTTGAGAACGGAGGACCATCTTAGCACACCCTTTTGAGAAAAGAGGGGGGTCTTTTCTCGAAAGGGTGCGTCGACTACTCTTTCACATCAGTCGTTTAAAATGTTTAAGGAATAGAAATAATCAAAAGTAAAACTACTTTTTGCATAGTCTTGCAGATCAGGCATTTATAAGAATTAAATCAGTAAATAAAAGGAAACACAATGAAATAATTAACTTAGATATTAAAAAATGTCAAATAAAGGTGTTTAGCTAGTCTTGCATATCAGTCATTTATTTATTGAAATAAAAAACAATATCCATTTCTTTTACTTAATCAGACACACGTTTATGTATTTGTTAAGTCTTGCTGAAAAAATGTAGGGGGGCACATGCTTTTTAATATTAAAAAAAAAAAAAAATTGCCAACACAAATTGAAATTATTTTTAATTGTCTATACCATCTGAAAAATGTATTCACCGGCATATATGCCATCTATAATGGTTTTATCACATCCACACAAATTTTAATTTAAGGAAAGTCACATTCTTTCACATAACATGCCCTTCTTTAGTTCAAAATAAATGTGTCACCTTCATAATCGGTTATTATCCAATTAAGACAGCAACAAGACATACCCAATCAACATTCACTCACACAACTTTCACCCTGTTCAACTTTTCTTAAACTTCGTTATTGATGCTAATTAAAAAGACAAAATATAATAACAAAGTTTGATATAAAAGTCAACATATTTATTACTTTTCAATAAACATTACACTAGCAAACAATAATAGTAGTAACAATGAAGGTATTATGTTGAATTCAACAGAGATGGTTCCTTGCATGGGTCTGTGGCACTCTGTGCTGATCCTATAAAAGCTCCCCCCCCCCCCCCCTCTCTCTCTGCCTCTCAGGCGCGGATCCAATAAGGGGGTCGAGCAGGCCTTGTCCCCCACCCCCCGCAAAAAAAGAGAGAGAGAAGGAAAAGAAGGGAAAGGGAAAAGGAGAGAAAGGGAAAGAAAGAAGAAAAGAAAAGGGGAAGGAGACCAGGGGCGAAAGGTTCTTGCGTCGCAGGCTGTTGCCTCCCCGCCTCCCCCCCCCCCCCCCCCATAAAAAAATAAGAGAGAAGGAAGGAAAGGAAAAGAAAAAAGTAAAAGAGCAGATAAAGGGAAAGAAAATAGAAGAAGAAGAAAAGAAGGGGGATATCAGTCGCAATTTTCCCGCCAACAAGTTGTGGGTCGGGGGGGGGGGGCAAATGGCCCTTGCCTCCCCTACCCCCAGCAAACCTAAAAGAGAGAGAAGGAAGGGAAGGGAAAGAGGAGACAAAGGGAAAAAAAAACAAGAGAAAGAAGAAAGGAGGTGATCAGTCGCGATTTTTCCCGCAAACAAAGTGTAGATCGGGAGAGGGGGGGGGGGGGTTAGGCACTGGCGTACTGATATGGGAGGGGGGGGGGACTTGGTATAAATAACATTAGAACGTGGTTCTCTTTATTTCTATAACGGTGATTTACAAATAATGCTGAAATGACATAATTTCTGAGATTTTTCCTCACTTTTTGGTAAATTATACTCTCTTTTTTGGTGGAAAATGGCAAATTCCTAAATTTGCAGTCAGGCAAGAAATATGCTTTTTTGAGTTGCCTACATGTCATGGCCCGCAAAATGGCGGGGATCGAAAGCCTCGAGCTTCCTCCCCCTCCCCCCAGATTTTTTTGTTGTCAGTTGAAAAGGTATATTAAAGAGAAATAGAAAGAAAGAATAGTTAACTGCCAGTGTCACAAAATAATGAGGTATCAAAATATGCTCATCTGACGGTAATTTAAAGCCTAAAACCCCTGAGCACCAGGTGAGGGGGGGGGGGGGGGCAACTGAATTAAGACAAGAATTAAGAGTCGAGAACGGTACAATGATCGTCTTCTTTCTCTAATAATTGATTGAAACGTAAAAGCTTTCGCGCGGGAGGGGTGGAAAACTGAATTCAGACAAGAATTAGCAGTCGAGAACGGCACAATGATTACTTCTTTCTCTATTAATTTAATTAAATGTCAAAGCTTCAGGGGGGGGGGCAAATTTGTAATTATGCGAGCCAAATATTGGTACGTAATGGTGACCAGCAGTGACGTAATGGGGGGAGGGGTCGGTGCAGGTGCAGGGAGGGGCGAGTTTTTCCCTCCCTTCTCTGCAAGCGGAAGCTTTGACGTTTCATTAAAATCTTAGAGAAAAAAGACTATTTGTTGTACCGTTCTCGACTCTTAATCCCTGTCTGTACTCATTCCAACCCCCCCCCCCTCCCCATCCTGCGCAAAGCGCAGAAGCTTTGACATTGCATTAAATTATTAGAGAAATGAGACGATTCGTTGTAACGTTCTCGTCTCTTAATCCCTGTCTAAATTCAGTTCTCGTCTGAATTCAGTTCCCCCCTCACGCGTGAAGCGCGAAAGCTTTTACATTTCATTAAATTATTAGAGAAAGAAGACGATCATTGTACCGTTCTTGACTGTTAATTCTTGTCGGAACTCAGTTCCCCCCCCCCCTCCCTCCTGCACGGTTGTACCGTTCTCGACACTGAACCATTGATTAAATTCATTCCCCCCCCCCCCCACTCCCGCGCGAAAGCTTTGACGTTTCATAGAATTATTAGAGAAAGAAGACAATTCGAGGTACCGTTCTAGTCTCTTAATCCTAGTTTGAATTCAGTTGCCCCCCCCCCCCTCCCTCCCGCGCGAAGTGCGGAAGCTTTGAGGTTTCATTAAATTATTATAGAGAAAGAAGACGATTCGTAATACTTGTCTGAATTTCAAAAATGTTCTTTATCTGCTCCTTTTTTCTCCTCTCTTTTTTGTTTTTTGGCCGGCGTTCTGGGGGAACCGCCCCCACCGAGGGGTTTTAGGCATTTGATTACGGTCAGATGAACATACTTTTATACTTTAGTTATTTTGTGACAATGGCAAGACAGTAATTGGCGTGAGGTCCAGCGGGCGGAGGCCCCAGATGAAGCTCAGGGGTTTTAGGCATTAAATTAATGTCAGATTAGCATCCAGGGGTCCGCCTTAGGGCCCTAGGCGGGGTCCAGGGGGCAGAGCCCCGGAAGCTGAGGGGTTTTAGGCATTTAATCAGGGTCAGATGAGCAGTTTGATACCTCATTATTTTGTGACACTGGCAGTTAACTATTCTTTCTTTCTTGCTCTCTCAGTCTTCCTATTTCTCTTTAATATACTTTTTCAAAATAAGTTAGGGGGGGGGAGCTCGAGGCTTCCGATCCCCGCCGTTTTGCGGGCCCTGACATGTAGGCAACTCAAAAAAGCTTATTTCTTGCCTGACTGCAAATTTTCCAAAAAACGCATGAAGTATAATTTACTAAAAAGTGAGGAAAAATCTCGGAAATTATTTCAGCATTATTTGTAAATCACCGTTATGGAATTAAACATAAACCACGTTTGAATGTTATTTCCCCCAAGTCCCCCTTCCCCTATCAGTACGCCAGTGCCCCCCCCCCCCCCCCCCCCCCGATCTACACTTTGTTTGCGAGAAAAATTGCAAATGATCTCCCCTACCTTTCTTCTTTCTCTTTTTTTTTTATCTTCTTTCCCTTTTTCTCCTCTTTCCCTTCCCTTCCTTCTCTCTCTCTTTTAGGTTTGCAGGGGGTAGGGGAGGCAAGCGCCTTTCGGCCCCCACACCAATCCACGGTTGTTATGGGATTTACCCAACTGATCACCCCTTCTTTTTACCCTTTTCTTTTCTTCTTTCTCTTTTTTGTTCCTTTTTCGCTCTCCTCTTTCCTTTTCCCTTCCTTCTGTCTTTTTTTTAGCGGGGGCAGAGGGGGGGGAGGGGAGGCAAGGGCCATTTGCCCCCCTCCCGATTCCGATCTTCTTGGCGGGAAAATTGCAACTGATATCCCCCTTCTTTTCTTTTCTTCGTCCTCTTTTCCTTGTTTCTTTTCCTTTCCTTCCTTCTTTCTTATTTTTTTATGGGGGGGGGGGGTGATTGAAGTGTGCACGATCATGGAGGATCTCTTTCAACCATTTTGGAACAATTCTCAGAATAGCGACCAGGTACATGTACAGGATAGTTATAACAACGTTATCGTATCATTAGGAACAACAAGAAGATTTTAATGTGATGTGTATGGCAATTCTTGAGCTCCCGTAATATAATTTCAGAAATATTGTACCGGTAATTTGTGCTTTAATATCTAATATCTTAAATGAGTCTCCTGTACATACCTTATTTAATGGGAGCAAAAATTATTTTTCTGATGGTCAAAGAAAGATGAATTGTTTGTGTTCTTAAAGTAAAATCAAAGGCTCATTATCTTAGTTAAAAATGGACATAAGGTGCAATGAGAAACATGCCTCCGAAACGAAGTAGCCGGAGGCATTGTTTTCAGCTTGTGTTTTCAGCTTTGTCTGTACGTCCCATTCTTGTGATCGCTTAATCTCAAGAACTGATTGATGGATTCCTGCTTACTTAACTTAATCATGTATGTATCTTGCAGAGCCAATGAACTGATTAGATTTTGAGGTCATGAGGTCAAAGGTCATGGGGCTCATTATGTATGAAAAAATAGCTTGTGATCGCATTATCATTGGAGCTAGCTGACGGATACTATCAAATTACTCAGGAGATGTATGTATGCAGAGCCAATAAACTGATTTGAATTCTAGGGTTATGAATTGGTCAAAGATTAAAAGGTCAACTGTAAAATAGCTTGTAATCAAGATATTCTGAGAACCTGTTAATGGGTTACAATCACACTCAAATTTAAAGAATAGCTACTGTTTTGGTTTGAAAAATCGCTCTTTGGTGGAGGCATCATTTTCGACAGTGCGCAGCTAGTCGAAGATCCATCTAGTCTTTATCATAATCATATCTAATCTTTGTTCTGCTAGTGAATGCACTTGGAGAGAAATTAGCTTAAAGCAGTTCTAAATCCATATTGTACAGTACGTTATAGATGGACCTTCCACATGTATTACAAACTAGTGGAATTTGCTTGATTATAATGCCGATTTTTATGATTGCATGCCATATTTAGAATATTAAGGCATTTGAAGAGCCATGCTTTTCAGGGAACGTTCTTCCACATGCACTTGCATAATACAATGATAACACTCACAATTTATATTTCACCTCTTCCCAGAACTCAACCTTCCCTTTAGATCAAATTTAACAATTACTGGTAACAAATTTGTCCTTAAATCCTTGAAAATATCTTTATGCAAAAAATATTGGCTGAAATACAGAAATAACTACATGTACATTTATATTGCACAAGTATCAATTATAGGGGATGCTCAAGGGGCCTACAAAGTAGTTCATGTTTAATATTTACCCTTGCTTTCATTCATCTTTTAAAAAATCATTTTTCTTAAAAATGATTCATCTTTCAGCAAATATAATTTGCAAAAGGAAAATAATTCATCTTTCAACAAATTATCATTTGCAAAAGGAAACATGATTTCTGTAAAGACAAACAGTTTACAAGAAGACGGATGGTTGTTTAGAAGACGAATAGTTTGGAAATAGCTAGATGAATGATTTGTGAAAAGACATAAGAAAACAGATGAAAGCCTTAAAAAGAGACATGACTTCAAAACAAGACAAATTATATTTGCATGATTTTAAGATGGACGAATGACCACGTTTTGTTTCCCTTTTGGCTTGCCATACTGCTGCAAATGGGAATGAGACTTTCTTTCCGTTATTAGCAGAAGTCTAGATTACATTTGCTGCTGGTTTATTTTGTCATCTTATCAAGAAGTACTCTTTTCCTTTGTCTTTTCTATTCCATTGTTCTACATTGTTCTACAGGAAGCATTGATTGATTTGCTTGAAGCAGGACGCAGGTAATTGTACAGTACCGGAATTTCGACGCATGCTTAAGCGAATCCATTCTGGTAAGACTTATATCATATACATGTGATAGATTACAGGGTCTTTAGGAAAGAAAGGGGTCTAAATATGCTTTTTGTAAGGACCTGTTGTTAACTTACTGAGCTATATCTATATGCAGTGATATTGACCAAGTTTGCTGATCCATGAATTTGAGATGGTAGGATTATGAAAGAGAGGTTCGAATCATATAGATCGCATCGTCCTGAAAATGACACTCGTTTTCAACGCTTTTCAAATCATCCATCGGAAGTTCTGACATCAGAAAAATATTTCTAATGTGAATGTTATATTATAATCTTGTATCAGATAAATTTTTATGTAATTCCTATGATGCTTAATATGAAAATTTTGGCCCGGAATTGTGCTCTTGTCACTGCCGAGTCGATCATAATTGTGTTGGGATTATTGCCGTACGTGGGTGGATACAAATGTGCATTGCCCCACATGTTATAATTCATGTAGTGAGATGAAGAAATATGCGACGGTGAAAAAAGAAATGTTTTTCTAGAAAAAATTGGATGACTATCACATCAAGTTCGAAGTCAGGTTTTCAGTTCGATTGAAAGATTACAATACAAACTTGGTACATATTGCCTGAAACTCCTCAATTAAATCCCAGTATTAGAGTTCTATTCACAAGCACTGCAAAATATTCCCTTTTTTAATAGTTACACACTACCTTTTGTTTGAATGCCAATAGCCCGCTACTCAGCAAAAGCATAAAAATACATAGTAACTTACATGTAGCACCCAAGCCATGGTCTTGTGGGATTCCTCAAAATCATGATATTTGAAATGGATGTAGATATCATTTGTTACTTGTTACTTTTCTTACTTGCTATGATGTTGCATACATAATTTTAGCAATTTACTGAAAAAGCTGTTGTATGTATCTTGATCAAACTTTGAGAAAGTTTTCTATACCCCCCCCCCCCCCCCCCCATTCTTCAACATTCCATTAACAGAACTGGTGATTATTGATGTTTTGTTTGAAGTAACTGTATATGAAATGTTTTCCATTGGCTTCAAGCAAAATTATTACAATGATTGCAGTTTCATGAGGCAAAGTAGTGAAAACAGTCTTCTTCCAATGGTATGAGAAACATTTGCATCCCACACTTGAGGGATTCAATCTACCCACTGCACTTTGAGGATTAACAGATATGCAAGACCATATACCGGTACATGTTTGTGGCATCAACAATGTTGTGATCTTAATTCTCAATTTTTTCGAAGTGTTGGTCAAATTATTTAAACTAAGGTACTTGTAGTACAAAATGTCCATTACGCAGGCTGAATTAGAACCATCAATATTTATTATAACAGTACTATAGGTACTGTTGTTATATTAAAGGTCACTGGACCTACATTTCTTTTCAATCAGGAATTACTTTACAACAACAAAACTAGATTCTGTATGAAGCTGTCTCTTTCATAATTTTAATGTACATGTACTTTGATAAAAGCAGTAAAAGTGAAAATTCTGTTAATATTGTTATAGGGTCATTCCATGTCAAATCACCCAATGGTTTTAACCCGACCATTTTTGATTTTGATGAAACTTAGTGTACTTGTTGAGTGTGATCTCACAGCACCAAATCCAAAATTTTAGGTCAATCGGGTGAGGGGTTTGGGAGATATGGCCCACCAAATTTTGAGATTTTTTCAAAAATGGGGGTGGCGGGCCTACCTTTGAACCCTTGTATCTCGGGACCTAATGGGTCAATCTTCACAAAATTTGTATTGTTGGAAAGGGTATTCAATAAGGATTCTAATTCTGCCGCCATTTTGAAGATTCGTACATGTTGGGGTACTTTGACCTCTTGACCTCAGATTTGACCTTGAAATTGACCTTGTGGATCACGTAACTTTGACAACATTTTTCATGAAATGTAATCTCTGACATGTTCACTAAAACATGTAAAAGTTTCAGAGATATAATATTTTTTTTTTAGGAGCAATAAGGATTGAAAGTATTCATGCTCACAGATATTCACAATAAACCCTATTATAATGTATACAATACATGCAATATGCACAGTACAACATACATCTTCCACATGCTTTTTTGTTTTAGTCACATCCATCCTAAATGTCAGTAGTACTTGAATAGAAATAAATGACAAGTTCATATAGGCCTAAAGGGTTAACAGGATGTATGGCTTTAGGCCTCTGAGTCGGTTCTAGGATAATTACCCCCCTGGAAAATTAACCCTCAGGAAATTCTCCCCCCCCCCCCCTGAGGACAATTACCCCCCAAGGACTATCACATCCAGAGGATTATTACCCCCCAGAAAATTACCTCCTAGGACAATCTGTCCCCCCCCCCCCCCCCCCCCCGGGAAAATTACCCCTCAAGAATAATATACCCCAAAAAATAAATCTGCTTTGATTAAAACCACCTTATTATCAGGTTGGACTTCCACTTTAACGAATAGGGGGGGGGGGTAATTGACCTCTGGGGTAATTGTCCTTAGAGGGTAGTTTTCCGGGGGTGAATTTTCCAGGGGGTAATTATCCTAGAACCGACTCAGAGGTCTAAAGCCATACATCCTGTTAACCCTTTAGGCCTATATGAACTTGTCATTTTATTTCTATTCAAGTACTGCTGACATTTAGGATGGATGTGACTAAAACAAAAAAACATGTGGAAGATGTATGTTGTACTGTGAATATCTGTGAGCATGGATACTTTCAATCCTTATTACTCCAAAACAAAAAATATTATATCTCTGAAACTTTAATATGTTTTAGTGAACATGTCAGAGATTACATTTCATGAAAAATGTTGTCAAAGTTACGTGATCCACAAGGTCAATTTCAAGGTCAAATCTGAGGTCAAGAGGTCAAAGTACCCCAACATGTACAAATCTTCAAAATGGCGGCAGATTTGGAATCCTTATTGAATACCCTTTAAAACAATACAAATTTTGTGAAGATTGACCCATTAGGTCCCGAGATACAAGGGTTCAAAGGTAGGCCCGCCACCCCCATTTTTGAAAAAATCTCAAAATTTGGTGGGCCGTATCTCCCAAACCCCTCACCCGATTGACCTAAAATTTTGGATTTGGTGCTGTGAGATCACACTCAACAAGTATACTAAGTTTCATCAAAATCAAAAATGGTCGGGTTAAGATTTTCAGATTTTTCGGGTGATTTGACATGGAATGACCCTATAGTGTTCTCTATATTCTGTCAGGTCATAAGCCTCATTTCATATGATTTGGTAAAGTTTCTGGACATGTTTGCCTGATATAACAAAAAACAGTTTGCCAATGATATCTCAGATAACCAACACTATTTAGATTGAAGTTTTAAAAGTCTAATAAACTTGAGACATGTGCATTAATGTAATATTAAATAACTGTGATGTCCTATTATGCTTGTAAAAAGTACTGAAACAGCATTAATTTTTTCAGTGTTCAGCTATATCTTTAACAGTTGATTTGATATTCTATATGTAAAAGAACACATCCAGAACCTAAATGACCCAATGTGGCAAACTTCACTCAATGCTGTTGTTTTAAGAATATTTCCTTTGTTGTATTTTATGTTTCATTTCAAGTTATCGTAGAGGATGATATAGATGTATTTTCACAAATCCATTTTTATACATGTACATGTACTGTCAAAAAGAGGACTAGAATGTGAACAATAAATGCATAAACATAAAACAAACATACTGTCCCATTTCATCCTTAATAGAATTAATTCATGCAAATTAGTATTTCTGCAAGAATGAGTATGATAGGAAGGGATATATTGTTATGAATGCTTACTAAGAGAACTTACATAAGACAGGTCTGTTACAGGAAGCCGTCGTTAATTCTTGTACGTAGACATCTCGTTCAAATGAAAGCAAGTTGGTATTTTTATCAAGGGTACGAATAAGATATCCAGAACTTTCTTGCAACAGGCCTCAAGACTCGAGAAATGATCACATAATATTCCTTAAAGGGATCGTTTAACAATGTTAAATCTGAGATACAAGGCCCTACGTGTTATCAGTGTCTGTGATATGGTGTAATATTGAAGCCCTAAAAAAATTGCGCTTCAAAATGATCAAGAAGTTCCTCAAAAAAGTAAAAAAATCTTTGAGTGACCGGTTTTAACAAACTCGTTTTCCCCAATAGACTGTAGTGTTATGAAAACCGTCAGGCGAACGGTTTTCAAAATTTGTAATTCCAATCATAAATATCTTGATAATCAGACAGGCGATCGGCTTGTAAAAGTCATGGGGTTCCTGACTGACCTAAAGGTTTATAATTATCATTGCATCATGAGCTAAATCCAGAATTTTATTTCAGAATCTGAGACAAAGTTACCAGATCCCTTTAAGGGAGTATAAGCCAGTTTAAAATTATCACAAATTACCCCAGATTTCTACAGAATTTCTCAACAGTGCATTTTAGAAAAATTCTTACAGTGATGGAGGCACTTAATAAATAGCTTACGGTATATTGCAACGCTGGTGCAGAGATGAAAAATGATTCCATGACCTCATGAACATGTATCCAGTACTCTTGAGTATCCAGTCTCAATAGATTTTGTCAGTTTTGTACAAATGATTGCTATCTGCTGTTGTGCTGATTGTAACTTAAAACCGACATATTTTCAGGTATGTTTCCAGCTCTCCACGCTATGGCAGACTAAGGCCATGCAGACTCTTTGCTACTTCAAGTTCCGATCCTGACACTCTTGGGGTGACCACATCTTTTCCACACAGGCCCATCTCTCTGGAACAATCTTCCTCTTCTCCTTCGCCAAGCTTCCTCCGCTAGTTCTTTCAAACAATTACCCAAAACATATCTGTTCACGGTGGTCTTTGTAGATACATGTTTCAATGAGAAACCAGTTTCAAGGGGGGGATGTGGTCTTTGTAGACAGGTGGTCACTAAATCAGGTTTGACTGTAACTTCCATGTTTCAGTTTCAGTTTCAGTTTCAGTTTCAGTTTATTTTCATATTTTATATGTTGTATAATACATCATCACATTTGGCATGTTACATTTTTTGTACTCATTTTAGGATTCGTTTATACAAACAAAAAAAGAATGATTTAAGACTTAATAAAGGAAGAAATATGATGGAGCCTAAAGAGCAAGCAATGCTTGTAGGTCATAGGCTCCAGAAGTTATAACAATGATATAGTCTTGTGTATATTAAATAACGTAATTGAATTAAATTGAAACTTATTATGAAGAAAAAATAAACAATATAAGCGATGGTCTTCTGGGAAACTAGGCCTCAAAATCATAATATTTAAAATGATGTAGATTTCATTTGTTTTCTTACTTGCTATCATTTTGCATACAGGATTTTAGCAATTTACCAAAATAGCTGTTGTGGCTTCAAGCAAAATGATTACAATAATTATTGAAATTTCTTGAGACAAAACTTCCAAGGGTATGAGATACACTTGTATCCCACACTCAAAGGATTCAATCTACCCACTGCACTTTGAGGATTAACAGATTTGCAAGACCATATACTGGTACATGTTTGTGGCATCACCAATGCTGTGATCTTAATTCTCAATTTTTCCCAAGTGTTGGTCAAATCATTTAAAATAAGTTACTTATAGTGCTATTTATTGAAATCTCCATTACGCAGGCTGAATTAGAATCATCAATATTTATTATAACGGTACTATAGGCCCGTCGTTATAACAAAGGTCACTCGACCTACCATTTTTGCTCAATAATTATAATGATACTATCTAAGACTTATATAGCGCTGGTATACACATACAGTTTCTAAGCGCTTTACAAAACAAATGAAATGAAAATTCACTTATATATGAATGGTGTAACGTAATTCAATCAAAATATGAGAATGTTCAGACATCCTGATGCCCGATTATGAGATGATGGTTGCTCGAAAAATGGAATTCTTTTTTTTAAATCAAGATTTCCATTCATTTTTTATTTGCGTAGCTCATGGACCATTTCATTTTGTTGATCAAAATAATGTTGTTGATTTTTTTTTTTTGGGGGGGGGGGGGCAGGATGGGCATTGTCATTGGCAATTGCTATAATTAGAATGAAATGGTGCGTTGTTTACATTTGTTCGTCATATTTATTTTAAACAAAGTGCATAGTCTTATTATAATATTATGCTCAGTCATTGGGGGGGGGGGGGGCACACCCGTCTTTAGTCTACTAGATCAGTGTTTTTCAACCATTTTTTAGTCACAGTAGAAAAAGTTACGGAGGGGATGTAGGCAAGGGGATCCAAATTCTCCATACTTGTTTTTGTTGTGCGGCGAAATTCTTGGGATGTTAATTTGCAATTCACACTCTGTGAAGGGAATTTCTGTCGGTTAATTCAAAGGAATTTAAGATCATTCAGTATACTGATGACACAATATTGTTTCTTGATGGCACAGCTGC